ATACCCCCTCCGATTCACATCACTTCGTTCAAATGGATGTATCTAGAACTCAAATACATCTAGATACACCTATTTGAGAGGAAATTAATATGAATTAGAGGGAGTACTATGCACTGCGGAGGTAATATCATACACTAGTATCATATGCATGATGCTAACTTATATACTACTCACTACGGGCAACCTTAATTGGCCGGTTGGCCATAATTTTATAGCGCTAGTTAGGTAATTATTGTTGCGCGTTGATTGGCTATTTCCATGGTATGACCCCCACCCCCTCATACACACCCAATCTTTGCGCGCCTAGATCCCACTCCTCCTCCTTAGGTGCTCAACACACCTAGACGAATGGAGTAGTATCATGCATGTCAACTATGTCATGGAATTGTCACGTCATATGTCCTAGTGCAAGGACTTAGTCGTGGAGCCATCGCAACTAGGAAGCTTAAAGGGGTTAATCGGGACAAAGGACACGGGGTTTATACTAGTTCGGCCCCTTGCGTGAAGGTAAAAGCCTACGATCCAGTTTTGGGTGGTATTGCTTATGTCTCGATTACCAGGGAGCGATTCCGCTTGACCTAGTTCTCAATCTATTGTTACTTGTCCTGAACCGTCGCCGGGTCGTCCCTTTATATACGGAGGTCGACGCCCAGCGGCTCACAGAGTCCTGGGCGGCTCATAAACAGTGTCCGGCTCGGTCTCTCTCTATTCCTGCCTTATAATACAAGTTATATACATATGGTGGTTTATCTCTACGGGCCTTAAGTCGCCTTTGGGCTTTGGGCCCTTAACTGAACCGCCATCTTCAAGCATTGTCTTGGGCTTCATGAATCGTCATAGGTATAACCCGACCCCTCCTGGGTGGGTCATACCTAATAGTTATATCCCTAACAAACTAGGTACTTTTAGTGAGGTGACACATAACTAAATGAGGGAAAAAGAATTGGATATCATTATATAACACCATATCATATGAAATGATGTACTTGTACTCCTTTCGTCCTCAAATAAGTGGACATATAGAATTAAGAGAGATAATGGAGTGAAGTAGAAAATGCATTGAGAAGGTGCAAGTCATCATCTCTCTCCTCTTTAATTGTCTCACCTTCAATGATTTAACTGCATATAGAAAGTGAGGAGACCGTCTATTGAATGTTATTGGTCTTGATTTCTATGTGACGAGAGGGAAATATTTTTTTACGTTAAAGTACATTTGGAAGATAGAAGTACACTCTTTTGCAGACAAATTTTTAATGTTGAAATGGACGAAGTATGTGTCATGCATAGCAACAACCGAGGTCACTATGATGCCAAGTTATGATGCTATGCACTGTGGAGGTAGTATAGTACACTAGTATCATATGCACAATACTCATATATGATACTTCCCGTTGAGACTAGCCTAAAGAAGCGTTGCCATGCATAGTGTACGGGCCATATTTATGGTAGCCAATTAGTGATTATGTCATAAATTTGCAATGGAATAACCTATTAACAAACATACTCATTACAACAACGACCATACAAATGCAATCAAGTGGTGAAAAGGCAAGGACACTGGGCACTTGGGTGCTCCAAATGTCTGTCCATATGTATAGAATACATTATTTTGTACCCGATATATTCTTATGATGTTTCATTAAGAAACAAATTTTATGACGCCTTTATTCATCTACACCCTAGGTGATCAATAGCATACTAGTCATCAGTTTCTCTTCATGTGAGAAATACTTCGTTTGAAGAATCCATAAGCTCAAAATCAGCTTCCGCAAGATCAGTCACGCTTATTCAACAGCTTTATTGTTCTTGGGATTCAGATCCTTTATTCATTCAATGAAACCTCTTGTTGGATATTCACCAGATAAAAGTCAAAATATGGTTCTTATGGGGCTTAGGCAAATACATTACAATTATAGTAACAACTTTTTTACCGGGTACACTTTCTCTTTGAGGCATTCCACCCCTTGCTTGCTTCTTGTCCAAAGATGAAATCTGTAGTAATAGTTGGTTGTATTCGCTCTTTTCTGGAATAATAGCCTCCTTTATTGCAGGATATCGTTGCTATCCAAAGATGGGTCTGTAGGTTTGGAAGCTAGCACTACAGTACAACTAGTAGAAGAGATGGTCTAGATAAAATAGCAATAACTAACAAGTTACTAGATATTAAGAACAAATTTGTAGTTGTCAATATTTTTTTGGAGAAACAAAATCGCAAGCAACCCCCAATTAATTCATATTAGTATGCACATTGGATCACAGCCCTATTTTCTAAGAAGAAAAAAAATCATCTTTTTTATTGATGGATTAATATATAATCATTGGAATGTATACTGTAAAAAGTTCCTACTTTATTGTAGCAAACTGCCAAAATTATTGCCATAACTCTTCAATATGTATTATGAAATTAGAAGTAGGGCACTATGATTTTTGTTGTTGCATACCACAAATCAATGTAATGTAGTTTGAGTATGGCTAAAAAATAAAATATTCTTTAGTATGACTAATAACCTTTTTAAATACTAGATTTCATTTTGTACACTACTGGCAGGGTGCCTCTTTTGTTTACTGGCAGGGTGCCTCTATTAGCAAGAACTGAGCCTCTTAAGTTTTATTGTTGCAGGTCTCAAACTACCAAAGCAAGCGTGTCCTATGCCAGGACAAGAACTTAGGTAAACATCTCAATTAATTAAAGCTGTAAATATAATTTGATTATGTGGCCGAACGTGGGTGCAAGAAAAATAGTCGATATGGAATAATTATTTAATGTATAGTTCGAAAGGGTTGTTCTCAAGGGAAATAAATAAGGTGGTATTAGGCATTTAACTATCCAACTGGACATAGTGTAAGGCCCTTCTCAGTGCTTCATGTTGTACATGTGCATGTCACATAAGCAAAAAAATGACATGACAAAACTATTAAGGAGGAGAGATAGAGCACTTTAGTGATCACAGGAAGAAATAATGCCAAGCATGTGAACCTAGGCAAAATATTTAAGTGAAGGAAACTCACTAATGCATGGAAGAATTTAGTTGTTAAGGCTTCTTCCAATGCATTGGTGCTAAAGTGGGGTGCTAAGTGCATTAAAATGCTTAGCAACTAATGCCCCGAAAGCATTGGTGCTTAGATTTTGTAGCTAAGCCTCTTTTACTTATTTATTTAGTAACAAGACTCCTTCATATCTTGGTTCGTAGTCTTTTTTATAGGTCCACGTGCTTAGCGTTGGTTCTTCCTGAGCTCACAATAATACTCTCTCTCCTCTTTAATTACTTTGCCATATCATTTTTCTGCATACGTGGCTCCCTTAGCACACACCGTGGAGCATTGAAAATGGCGTAAATAATTTAATGAAGGAGTTTAGCTACAACAAGTTAAGCACCTATGCATTGAAGACTTTATTAGTTACTAAACTCTTAAATATGCCTAACACCTCATCTAAGCACATGTGCATCGGAAGAGACATAACTTTTAGAGTTTTAATTCAATTCTTGATCTGTTAGATTAAAATAAATATGTACGACATATCTCATACTTTTATAACATCCATGGTCATTGTTTTACATGTTGGGCTGCCAACTAAATGTTCATTACACACCTAACGGTTTGATGGTGTAAGCGAATAAGAATATGAATTAGAATAGAAAAGTGTGTAGGATCCTTAAGTATGTGGATGTCAACAGTGGGCTCTAAGGGAGGTTGGGAGGGGGCGAGTGGCAGGTGGCGGGGCCAGGATTTGGTGGTGGGTGGGCGGGGGTGTGAAGAGACAACGATGAAGTCCCACACAGGGTTAAAATTTTCAACGAAATTTCAGTGAAATTTTTGAAATTTCACATATTTCATTGGGATCCGAAATAATTTTAACCCAGAATTTTTGAGGAATTTTCAAACTGATTTCAAAATAAATTTCAATTATGTCCAAAATCATTAAAATTAAGTGAAATTTGAGACCTGAAAATCTGAAATAATTTCCGAAATATGCGAAATTTCTAAAATTTCGCATATTTCAATGAGTCCCAAAGTTATTTTGTTTCCGAAATTAAAAACCTTGGTCCCACTTAACAACACATAGAAACATAGGTTTTCCAACAATGCTACAAATGTAAATTTTCCAAAATATATAAGCATAATAACACATGTTTGACAATTGTCTGTTCAAACTTAGCGCTAAGATTGCCTACAAGCTTACTGGTTAATAATCTGACTGGAGTTTGAATATAATTTTCCACCAAAAGCAATATGCTTCATTTTCCAATTGTTTTTAAACATAAGTACAGTAAATAGTATTACCAATAATTAATTGGACATAAGCGAATCAAACAAAGCAGATTACCAATAACCGAGTTTCCGTGTAAAAAGATGAATTAGATATGAATCTCTCGTCTAAGCATATATATAATTAAATAATATTACTAATTATTTCCCGTGTTCCCGTGTTGAAAAAAATCAACGACAACTATCAGTCAACTGAGATTTAACAATCCCGCCGATTAAAATTCCCCACGAGAAAAAAAAATAGCCTATTCAAAAGTAACCGCGTGTGTGCTCACTCAACTCGCACTTGAATTGAGTTGAGAGTTTCTCGCTCTTCTATAAAAATATGCCGGGGGTGCTTGCCCCTTGGTCTTGTTTTTTTTTATATTGGCAGACCTCAGTAGCTTCGTGAAAAGTATTGCATCATCTACCTCATTCAGTGTAGGGTGTATCCTCTAATTCCTTGTTTCTTTATTGGATAGCAGAGCAGCGAGGCAGAATCTTATTCTCTGCCACCTACAGACCCCCGGTGCCATTGGACATCTTCTCCTGTCCCTTATCGCCTTCGTCCATCGAAGATGAGCTTCATCTCACCGATGGCGTGTCCTACAACTACAACGGCAGCCCCATCCCTCCCGCTGCGCTGAAGATCCTCCTCAAGGCCCCCAAGTTGGTAGGCGAGAGCGGCACCAGCACTGATGTGGACGTCGACGCCAGCCATGTCTCTGGGCTCGTCTTCGTCTCGGAGAGGGATGACGGCCTCGAGACGCTCTACATCGCCTTGCGCTTCAATGCAGACAGCAAGGTCAAGGTATTTGCCCTCGCCGACATCTTTGGCGCCGCTGACTTCAGTGGCCCGCGCCTGGAGGACAGTGGCTGCATCGGCGGCGGATATAATGTGGGGTCTCGCATGGTTGGGCACTCTCTCATCTACGTCTCCACCAAGGAACCGGTGCAGGAACGTCGCAGCCCCTGGACCGTCGTGTACAAAACCAACCTTTCAACAGGCAAGACAGAGCGTCTCACTCCAAAAGGTATGCATGTGTATAGTATTACACATCATGCATGCACCAACTATCAGTAATTAAGCACTTGACATTCCCGTTGATCATCTACTTGCAGGTGTGTTCGATTTGAGCCCGGCTGTGTCGCCGTCAGGGAAAATGGTAGCAGTGGCATCGTTTGAAAGCAAGAGTTGGAACGGCGAGATCGAGAACCTCAAGACTGACATCTACGTGATGAGCATAGACAGTGAGGAGGGCCTAGAGCGCAAGCTACTCATCAAGAACGGCGGCTGGCCCTCGTGGGGCAGCGATAACATCATCTTCTTCCATCGAGGCACCGATAAAACCCTTTCCTCGAGCAAGGTTGAAACAGCTTGGGGCGTGTTCCAGTACAACATCACAACCAACGTGACTATCCGGGTGACTCCATATGAGTTGGATGCAGTGACTCCGGCGGCCATCAGCGAGACCAAGTTAGCAGTGTCGACCATCCGGCAGAAGTCCAAGTTCTGCGATGTCCGCGTGGAGGCGCAGTACCGGCACATCGAGATCTTTGACACGAATGCCCTGGGGCTGCAGCCGGTGCAGATCACGCAGAAGATGAGGCCGAAATGTGACCATTACAACCCTTTCGTGCTGGAAGGTGGGGCGCGCATCGGGTACCACCGCTGCAGGAGCAACCTCATGAAGCACGAAGACCATGTGTCACAGAACTTGCACAAGCTGGAGTCCCCAGTGACGGACGTGGGTTTGTTTCAGGTGTCTGGTGCGTTTCCAACCATCTCCAAGGACGGATCCAAGCTCGCCTTTGTCGACAACGAGTTCAAGACTCTGTGGGTTGCCGACAGCAAAGGGCTGCGCATTGTGTTCAAGAATGATAGCCAAAACAAGATCTTCTCCCCTGTGTGGAACCAGAACCCTAACAAGGACACCCTCTACATCTGCACTGGCACTTCCTTCAACGACCACAGGCCACTGGAGATCTATGCCATCCGAAACGCCTCTGGCCCCCCAGCAAAATTACAAACCCACAGACTCACCTTTGGCGGGCTCAACAACGCGTTCCCCTCGAGCAACCCAGAAGGGGACAAGCTGGTGTTCCGGTCAATGAGGAAGAACGGTGAACACGAGCCAAAGTACAAGAACTTGTACATAATGATGGACGCAGGAAAGGGAGAACTCTGGCAAGGTTGGGAGACGCAACTGACGAGAGGGAACTGGACAGACACCCACTGCCAATGGTCCCCAGACGGGGATTGGATTGTATTCTTGTCGACACGCGACAAGCCGGAAAACACCACTACGCGGGGCAAAGACCCCTTGTCGACACGCGACAAACCGGAAAACGCCGCTAAGCGGGGCAACGACATGGACCCGTGGCACTTCTCCGTGTACCTAGTGAGGGCAACTGACCCGACGGTGGTGATCAGGGTGATGAGTAGTGGGGGCGATCTTGGCGGTCACATAAACCACCCGGTGTTCAGCCCGGACGGGAGGAGCATCGCCATGATGGCTGATCTCGCGGCGGTGTCGGTTGACCCAATGTCGCTGCCCATGTTTGGGCACGCAGTGCGGACCTACGGTGACGTCTTCGTCGTGGACATCAACCCGAGCAACTCGAAGGAGAACAAAGACGTGATCAAAGGAATCCACCGGATAACGCACAGCAGGTATGAGTGCGGGGCGCCAGCTTGGACTCGTGCATTCGCCGTGACAAGCTTGGAGGCATGCACACCGTCATATCCATACGTCCACGGTGACGGTGCTGAGAGCTGGCACAAGACCGGGCACCTCTGGATCCCCAAGAGGGCTTGCTGATTACTGATTGTTTGATTGTGTGAGCCACCAGCACTAGCCTGAGCTGTTCTCCATTTATGCTATTGCATCCTTAGAGCATGCTTTGATCCAAGGGACTATTTTTAGTCTGAATAAAACTAGTCTCTTTTAGAGGCTAAAGTTCCAATCATACCTGACTAAAGAGAGGCTAGAACTAGTCTTGAGACTAAAAAATTTTAGTCAGGGAAACCCTATTAAAATGTGGATTAGTCCTCTCTCTCCTCATTTAACTACTCTCCTTTAACACATGCGAGTTCTGAATTGGAGGGTTTGGAGGATAATAAATGCTCATTAACTCGATTTTAGTCTATTTAGTATTTGTATCCAAGTATGGATGAGGCTAGCAAATTTTAGTCTCACTACTTTTAGTCATGGGACCAAAACGTATCCAAGCACCCTCATACTTATCTACAAAGATAGTACCGGAGAGTGAAGACCTCAGAGACTACTTCCAATTGCCTCTGTCTGAGCAGTGAGCAGGCCTGCTCCCGGTTCAATGATCTCCAACCAATGGGCTAGATCTCTGGACATCGCAAAGTCTCTTTTACCGGCAACGGGAGCTACCGGCAATCCACACCCAATGGGGTTCTACCACATGGTGTGTACCCCGATACAGTTACATGTATTTGATACCTTTCCCTGGCTTTAAGCGTTGGTATTTCTCTCTTGTGGGTTCCACCATTGGCAGATAAAGGTAGCATACATCGTCCTATATATATATATATCCTTCTTTCTTTTCTGGCATGGGTACAGGTTATGACACATTCACTCTCTCCTCTCCCACCAACAAAGCCATCATTTTATTATCCTCATGACAATTTTAATCATTTATATCTTTTAACTTATAGTTTTGTTTTTCGATAAAGGGCGATTTTATTAATTTAAAATGTAGCATCAAGTGGATACAAAGCATTATGAGTAACACCCGGCCTCTGCATAACTAGGATGCACACAGCCAAATCCGAAAGTCCAACCAAAAAAGTCATCAAATAAAAACCGACAAAACGGCAATAGTAGAGTCCTATAGACCGACACTATGCCTATGTCGAAGGAGGTGGTGGGTCGATCCGAAGGTTATGCTGCCACCCATGTCGGAAAAAAACCTCCATAGCCACCTGCTCCAATCGCGTACACACCGCCTTGAACAACAGTTGGTACTCCGGTCGTTGTAGAATAGACCACATACGTAGCGAGTGCGTACACCGGAAAATAACCTGCAAATAAGAAGCATTTGTTTCATTGAAAATCAAATCATTTCTACATAGCCAAAGCGACCAAATTAAGGCATACGCTCCCACCCTTATTAGCGTTTTGAAACTATTTGGAATACCGTCCAACCAATGACCAAAAATATTGGTAACACTTGAGGGTGGATGCAAATTTGACGCTGTTTGAATGACTGACCATGTAGAACGTGCAAACTTGCATTGAAAAAAGAGGTGTTTGATTGTCTCGTTATGAGTACAAAAACAACACTTCTTACTCCCTTGCCAGTTGCATCGTGCGAGGTTGTCTTTAGTTAACACAACCCCCCTACGAAGATACCACATGAAAATTTTCACTTTTAGTGGAATCTTGGATTTCCAAATTTCTTGTTATTACTAACAGGTACCTCAGAATGTGTGAGCGCACGGTACATAGAGTCTACAGTGAAAGACCCAGATGTAGTAAGGTTCCAGCGAAACACATCACGGCCATCTGTCAGGTTAATCGAATCCAATCTGGATAAAAGATTATGCCATGACACAAGTCTGGGGCCAATCAAATCCCGCCTGAACGAAATATTCGGTGGGGATGAATTGAGCACCTGCGCAATAGTATTATTCTTATCGCGAGCAATGTTGTATAAGGCTGGATATTTTTCTCGGAGACTAGCATTGCCTAGCCATATGTATTCTCAAAAACGAATCTCCGACCCGTCCTTTATCGCGAAAGACCCAAAGCAAAAGAGATGTTTCTTTTTCGCCATTAGGCCAGCCCAAAAGTGCGAGTCGCCGGGTTTCCAAAATGCCTGGGACACAGCCTTTTGGCCTAGATACTTGTTGCGCAGCATGGTTTGCCAAACACCATCCTCAGTAAGAAGTTTGAATAACCATTTACTGAGTAGAGCCTCATTCTTGACCTGCAGGTCATGAATTCCAAGGCCACCTTGGTCTTTTGGTCTACAAACCACGCTCCATTTGGTCAGCCTGTATTTTTTCTTTTCACCGTCTCCTTGCCAAAAGAATCTAGATATAAAATAGTCCAGTCTTTGTAAGACCCCTTTTGGGAGTTGAAAGAAAGAAAGCATATAGAGAACCATGTTTGTGAGGACAGAGTTAACCAAAACCAACCGTCCCCCAACCGAGAGCAGTTTGCCTTTCCAACTGCTCAACCGTTTCTCTAGACGCTCCTCTACATGCTTCCACTCCGCAATGGTGAGGCGTCGATAATGAATCCGTATTCCCAGATATTTAATTGGGAATTGTCCATGTGCGCAACCAAAAAGGTCAGCATAATCGGTCGCCGCCTCAAAGGCTTCTCCAAAGCAGAACAATTCACTTTTATGGAAGTTTATTTTGAGACCCGACATTTGCTCAAACACGGAAAGCAAGAGTTTCAGGTTTGGAGCCTTGTCCAAATAATTTATATATTTGAATTAATTGTGCCAAGACCTTTACCGAAAAAGGCTTTCGCCCCGCATTATAAATAAAGCACCACCAAGCACAAAGTAGCACAAACCAAGCATACAAAACACACACACGCACACACCGCCACCTCAAGCAGGTCCGACGCACAAACACACAGATACGACACCTAGATTCAGCTGTGGGCACAGCACAACACGCCCAAAACCACAACACGACTCACACTACGAACATAACAGCGGCGGCGATGACGAGGTGTAGAGGATCTAATCCGGCTCCGGCGGTGGAGGAGGGAGCGGAGGAGCCAACCGGAGCGCCATCGAGCGAATCTGGGCGGTGATGGAGGTGATGGCGTCTCTCTCCGGGGGGCGGCTAAGCGGCCGCCAAAGCTGTAAGTAATCAGACCATTTGAACAAAGCATCAGTAGCACGTCGAAGAGGAATCCGCTGAATCACAAGTTTATTCCTAACTGTCCACAGTGTCCAGGTTAGCACTCCGATGGCTAGCCACCTAATGTGGCGGGAAGGGGGAGGTAACGCCTGGAGTTTCGCGAATAAGGCAGGGAAGTTGTTGTGATCCCATCTTCCACCTACTAATTCACGAAAACAGCTCCAAAGGAACTGCGCGGACACGCAAGTGAAGAAGATATGGTTCGAGTCTTCCTCAGGCCCGCAGAGCGGGCAACGCCCATCTCTTGGGCTGTTGCGCTTCAGGACCTCCACGCCGGAGGGAAGGCGGCCGAGAATCCCACATGAATATCCTAATCTTCAAGGGGAGTCGAATCTCCCAGATGGGAATGAGGGTCGCATGACCCAGCGAGGGTGCGATGGCCTGGTATAGAGATTTAGTGGAGAACTGCCCCGATGGCTCTAGACGCCACTTGGCCCGGTCTTCTCCACCCTCGAGATTAGGTTCTTGGAGTGCGATGCATTCCAGCAACTCATGCCAGTCCGCATTCTCAGCCGGGCCAAAAGCTCTCCGAAATGTGAGGTGCCCTAAGTCAATAAGGGCCGTCGCAACTGAGATTCGCGGGTCAACCGCGATGGAGAATAGGTCCAGGAACCGATCCGCAAGGGGACGGTCGCCAGCCCATCTATCAAACCAAAACAACGTGGAGGTGCCCGATCCAACCGCGATCGAGGTGCCGATGTGAAGGATCGAAAGGAGCTGAATGACGGATTGCCAGAATTGGGAACCTCCGGGTCTCTGGCAGAAGGCGAGTGCCTGCCCACAGAGGTATTTCTGCTGAATGATGCGAAGCCACAGGCCCCCATCGCCGTTGGAGATCCGCCACAACCAGCGCGTAAGTAGGGCAATGTTCATGAGTTTGGAGGACATGATCCCGAGCACACCCTAGTCACGCGGTTTACAGATCTCCGACCAGTGAATCATGTGGTATTTTTGTTTATCTCCCTTGCCAGCCAAGAAGAAGCGTCTCTAAACGGTGGCAATCTCGTGATGTACAGTTTCCGGAAGGCTATAGAAGCTCGTGATGAACAGCAGTAGGCTGGCCAGGGATGAGTTAATAAGCACCGTCCGAGCGGCCTTCGAGAGCCAACGGCCTTGCCAAGGCTCGATGCGGTGTTGAAGCTTCCCAACCGCGGGGCGAAGCTCCGCCACCGTGAGCCTTGTATCACTAATGGGGATCCCCAGATAAGATGTGGGGAAGCACCCTAGCTGGCAATTAAGACTATCCGCTATGCTTTGTCGCTTGTCTTGGGAGTATCCCAGGATCATAACCGAACTTTTATCAAAGTTGATCCTGAGGCCAGACATCTGCTAGAAGCACAGCAGGAGGAACTTCAAGTTCATAATGTCGGTCGGCGAGCCTTCCACCATGATGATGGTGTCATCCGCATATTGGAGGAGGGACTATCCCCTTAATGTGGCCCGCCACCTTGGCTTTATCTAAGATCGTTGCCAGAGCATCGACCACCATGTTGAAGAGGAATGGAGAGAAGGGATCGCCCTGGCGCACCCCGCATGAGGTGGGGAAGAATGGGCCAATCTTGCCGTTAATGTTCACCGCAGTCCGTCCCGAGGATACCATTTGCATCACTCGGGAGACCCACCTATCGTCGAATCCCTTCCGCAGCAAGCATTCCCTAAGGAAGGGCCAACTAACCGTGTCATATGCTTTGTGGAAATCCAGTATCAAGAAGACTGCCTTGAGGTGTTTGGAGTGGACCTCAAGGAGTGCCTCGTGGAAAACTAGGACTCCGTCAAGGATATACCGGCCCTGAATAAATGCCAATTGATCAGGGTGAGTGATCCTATCGGCAATAGGGGTCACCCTAATGGAGTACCCCTGCGCGAGGATGAGGAAGATGACATTAATGACGGTAATCAGCCTAA